GTAGTATTAATGTTGTCGTGATAGCCAGCTGTTACTATTTGGAAGGACGTAGGCTTAGTAAAACAAAAGAAACAAAATGTAGTCGTTAGTTGTTCATATCAACTAGCGCACTCTTTATGCAAATCAACAAATGATTTTATGTTCGAGATAAATCTATAAAATTTCAAGAACGAAAATATATTATCAATAAAAAATATAAAAAATTAAAATACATAATAATTTAAATTTTTTTAGAGAAACGATATCCCTCCTGACAGGTTGAACTCTATGGATGCCCCAAAAAAATTGCCCTATGGAGCTTAATGTCGATGGACAGTACTTAAGTCCAACTATTTAACAAAATTGCCCTTGTTACCCGATCCATCTCTGCTTTACGGCTTTGCATGGATGCCCCAAACAAATGTAAGAGCACAGGTTGAACTCTTGATTAGCAATCATATCTTTTGCCACAAAAAGCATACACATGGCATCTGTTTATTTGTTGTTTATCAAACCAGTAGTTAAACTTGACAGTGTTTAAGTTTTGGGGGTGTGAAACTAATCTATACAGTAGAATAGTATAGGTATTAACTGAAAGTTCGGGGATGAGATGGTGAGATTAACTCATTTGATCAAAGACGGCTTTTATTTCTTTTCTTTAGTTTAATGTTTCTTGTTTTGAAGCAAAAGGAACACGTACCGACCAACTGTTACTTTAGCTCCATAGGAAGTACCGTCCATCGACATTAAGTTCAAGAAAGAAATCAAATAATTTTTTTATCAAAGAATCTAGGGTTGCCTCCACTTTAGTTTACCATGAATGTTACTAGTGCTAGGATAGTTCAATATGCTTTAGGGGCATTCGGTATGTTATTTGCTCAAAATAATTCTATGGATTAAGAACATATTGCAATAACGACTTTAAACCAAAAGCTTAGCACTCCCATGCCTTGCGATGTGGGAAATCTCTCTATTATTAAAGATAGTATCATTTGATTCAAGCTTAGCCCCAAAAGAAAGACTGGCTAGTTGGCGGTCTAGAGAAGAAAGAAGATGCGGTGGCATCCAATTGTTTTGTTTGGCCTCGTTATCCCAATAATTCTTTGCTTTAAAGGAGGTTAAAGCTAAGGACAAAACACAGTTTGGTTAAAGTTAAAAGGCAAACATAAAATAAAACACGGTTGGCTGTAAATTCCAAAATTGCAACCACGGCTACTGACAACCGACAACAGCAAGTTAATAGTTCTGCATCTGCCCAAAAAGACGAAACACTTCCCAAAGGATTAGTGATCGGTCACAGCCGGTTTAGTTTAGTCAGTGACCAAATGTCTACTTGAAGTACTATAATCTCTGAAACATCAAGCCATGGCTCAGACAAGTGAGACAAATAAGAATCTGGTACCATACCCATAAACCCAAAGAAAGCCCTCTCTTTCTATTTTTTTCAAAACAACTTTGGGGTTTCCTTAATCCCTTTTAGTTATATATAAATTTGGGGGTTTCTTATTCCAATTTGGATTTGCAGCAGTTTTGATTCCTTCACAAGATGTTGGGCGTCCAAGTAGTACACGACCTTCAGTCTGATTGGACCATCCATTTACGCAGTCTAGCCCCCTTGTCTTCTCTAGAAGAAAATTAGTATATAATTTAATATAAATGCATATGTAATAAACAAAGTTTCAGCCTATTATTCCCTCAAAGTTTCATTCTTCTCATGAAAGAAAGCGTCATTAAATGGATTGCAATGTGCTAAAAGGATTTGCTTCTGCACAACTAAAGCTAGCCCTAACTATGTAATAATATATATATATATATATATATGTGTATGGTTACATTAAAGCCAAAATTTGATGTTAACCAAAGATTCTATACTTAATGGGCTTGTAAACTTTCATCACTTTTTAGTAAAAGGTTTTCATTGTCCTGAATAAACGAGTATTTATAACCCAGAAGAGAAGGAAAAATATTATTATGTTATAAATTAAAATTTTGAATATTTTAAAAGACAATAAATATTTTTAATTTTCATATTGATATAAGTCTGAATAAATTTAAGTTTATCTTTGATAGTTCAAAATCAACAAATTTGTGTAATGAGATTCCCAAATCACATATTATTTATATGAGTTTTATTCAATTGCTTAAATATAATTTTTTAAGCATGTAGTCATTGAGTGATTGAAGACAACGTCTATACATATGTATTATCACTGTTTTCTAATCAGTTCACCTTCACACAAATACATATCTTCGACATGTATCACGTGCACAATTATTTAATAAACCTCATAACATTTTTACTATTTTTAACTCATTATCATTTTTTATTTTAATTATAGATAACGTTAACCATTGAAATTACATTCGAAAAACTGGATATATTGAAACATATGCACCCTACAAATCAAACATTTTTAAAAAATGATTTTGATGTCTTTATAAAAAAATATTATCTTTTTAAATAAAATTATTTAAATATTATTCTCATAAATTACTCTCGATAACCAGCTTGTGTGTGGCGATTTTCCTCAAAAATCACCCTTTTAAACTTTATTTCCCTGTTAGACACCATTTCATCTTTATTTCCCAATTTATCACACTGTGTAAACGTGTAAAAAATCGAGTATTAGTTTTGTAAATATTTTTAATATGATGCATAATATGTAATAATTTATATTAGGGTGATATTTGTATAAAAATGTGAACTTTATTTATTTATTTTTTGTGTGATATTATTTTTTAACAACATTTAATAATGTTTATTAAATTTTAAAATTAATTGTTTAAAAATATAAAAATATTAAAAAAACTTTTAATTACAATTGAGAGATCAAATGAATTATTATTCATTTTTTTAAAATCAATAAAAATGCAATAAAAAAGAATTAAAAGTGAATAAAATTCAATAAAAAGAATGTAAAGCTAAAAAATAGGATAATTTTTCTAAAATTAATTTTAAGAAATATAAAATAAATATTAAATTCTAATTTTATTAAAAATGAATAAACATTATTAATTGTTTTTAAAAAATAATAATTAATGAATAATAATTTATTTGATCCTAAATTGTAATTAAAAGTTTATTTTAATATTTTTTTTATATTTTTAAACAATTAATTTTAAAAGTCAATAAATTTTTAAAAATATATGAAATTTATATATTTTTTAAATTATAAAATATTTATTATTATCATCATCATCATTTTGTAAAAAAATACTTGTTATAAAACTTTTATAAAATTATTCATATTTTAAAATACTTACCCTCAAAGTTTTCCTATACTAGATTAAACGTATTGTGTAATTTTATGCAAAAATCAAAATAATTTTATTAAAATGAAAAAAAAAATTATTAACTATTGTTAAAAATAATAATTAATAAATAATAATTCATTTGATCCCTTAATTGTAATTAAAAGTTTATTTTAATATTTTTTATATTTTTAAACAATTAATTTTAAAAGTCAATAAATTTTTCAAAAATATATGAAATTTATAATTTTTTAAATTATAAAATATTTATTATCATCATCATCGTCATCATTTTGTAAAAGAAATACTAGTTATAAAACTTTTATAAAATTATTCATATTTTAAAATACTTACTCTCAAAGTTTTCCTATACTAGATTATAGGTATTGTGTAATTTCTTTCAAAAATCAAAATTTATCGAGTTATAAAATAATTTACACAAGAATATTTAAAGATTTTAATGTAAAAAGTTTTTTTACACGAAATAAATAAAGTTGACGTTTTATATAAATATTACTCTAATATAAATTAATTATATATTAGACATAATTTAAAAATATTTATAAAACTAACACTCGATTTTTTATACGTTTCACAAGACACAGAGTATGATCACATCTTCTGTAAAAGATGTTAGATAAAAAAATAAAGATAAAAGGATGTTTAACATGAAAATAAAGTTTGAAAGAGTGATGTTTTTTCTTCTTTTTTTTTCTTTTTTTGAAAAATCACCTGTATATAAATATATATATATATATTATTAAAGAACAATAAAAATTCATTCAATTGGCATCAAGTACAATGGTGACGGGACGGCTAATATATAACATTAGCACTCAAATTCTAATCGCATTCGGCCACGTGGTCTACTTCCGGCGCCAGTAAGATATCCCAAACCTTTATTACATCAGCAAAACACGTGATCCTACGGCTACATGTTTTTCCCCTCTCCGATCTCTTGCCTCTAACAACAAACAAGACCACATTTTTCCCGTTATTTAACGGCAGAACCCTCAGATGCCGTCAACTCACTAACCCCGAAGAAGAGAAGAGGAGGAGGGGGGGGGGGGGTTCTCCGTCTATATAAATGCCACGCCCTTTATTTTGTTTCCTTCCCCTTGTCTCTCCAAGTGTTTGTCTGAATTTTTATATTATTTTTCTATTTTTGGCTTTATTTGCCAAAATCTAAATCCCCGGGCTTGCCATATCCAAAACTTTCCGTTTTGGGAAGGTCTTGTTCTCAACCCAAATCCTTCGGATTTTCCCTTCACAGATATTAAAGCTTCGTGCTTTCTTTTTTCTTTCAAAGTTTTAATTTGTAGAAGAAAGGAGCAAAATTTCTTCGTTTCAACCACCGAGAATTTCAACGGCTTTACTGGGTTATTAAAGTTGTCCAGGGTAAGTGGATCTTCTTCTTCTGCCTAGCTTTCCCCCCCCCCCCCTCAACAACCAAACAGATCATTACTTTTCCTTTATGCTTTGAATCATTTTATATTGTTGTTAAAGCTGTTGTTCTGAGTATGTGTTTTTAATGAACGAAAAACTACCAGTCTTGAAACGTAGCTGTGCAGAAAATGCAAGAGCAGAGCAGGGACAGAGGAAATGAAATCAGAGATGATATAAAGAATGACAGCCGATAAAAAAGCGAAAGAGCATTTGGGGTATTGAGGGTAAGTCGTTTTCGAACAATAAATGATGCCAAACAGTAGGTTTCAAGCTCTCAATGTCCAACACAACGCTGCTCAATATTTTCTTTGTTTTTATGCAGGGATAAGAAGACAATAAGAAAACTAGAAATCAAAAGCAAAGAATATTTTTTTAAAGAAAAATGTTTACGTGCATAGCGTGCACAAAGCAGATGGCGGACGGAGGGGAAGAAGTAGGAGCGCGTGGAAGTGGCGCGCCTAGCTCTAAAGAAGTTGTCAAAAGCCTCACCACGCAGGTTCTAATATTAATATCGACTCATATTATATTATATTATATGCTCAAGATTCTTTCTGTTTTCAGGATGTACAAGAAAACATATCTAAAATAGATTAGAATGAGAGTGAAAACTGCATTTTGTTTTGCACCTTTGATTAAGAGATGAATCTGAGGATTGTATTTTGTATATTGAAAACCAATAAGTCAAGGCAACATCCTTGGAGAATCCAATGGACAAAATAGGGTTTTAAATTTAACCAACAGTGGTTGAAAGTAAGAATCTTTCGAGTGAAACGGCGAGGTTATGGTGCAGTTGATATTTCAGTTCAGTACACTGCACTGTTCACTTCTGTGCATGAGCTATGGGAACCTAGGCTAGTAGCTATTTGCGTAACTTCGAGCAACAAGAATCCCGCCCCATCGGCCGTCCCACTTTTTCATTTTATGATTTACTCCTATGGACTAGGTCTGTACTCTGTAGATATTTGTTAGGAAATTGAATTCTTTGTGCTTCTCATTAACTTGAATTCTGATAATATGCAGATCAAGGATATGGCTTTGAAATTTTCAGGAGCTTACAAGCAATGCAAGCCCTGCACAGGCTCCAGCACCTTCAAGAAGGGAACTCGACCGTATCCGGATTTCGATGCTGCTTCGGAAGGGGTTCCGTACCCCTACATGGGTGGAAGCAGTAGTTCAACACCTGCGTGGGACTTCACCAGTGCCAGTCATCATCATCCAGGAAGATTCACTGGGGTATTCACTGGTGATACAACTCCTGCCTACAGAGAGTCGTTCTCGGCCAAGGATCTGGTGTTGGAAGATGAGGATGAGCCTAAGGAATGGATGGCACAAGTGGAACCTGGGGTTCATATAACTTTTGTCTCCCTTCCTAATGGAGGAAACGATCTTAGACGTATTCGGTTCAGGTATGCCATGGACCATCCATGCTGGCTATGATTTCAGTCAAATATGTATGTATACGGAAACTGACGTTATTCAGGCTTTGAATATTGAAGTCGGGAGATGTTCAACAAATGGCAAGCGCAACAGTGGTGGGGTGAGAATTATGATAGAATCATGGAGCTCTATAATGTACAGAGATTCAATCGTCAGGCATTACATACTCCCCCGAGGTCTGAAGATGAGGTAAACCACTTCCTTCCGTTTAAGACATTTTGTTACTTAAATCATCCAATTGTCTTAGTTCGTGGACATTATGCATGGTAGAAATGTACAGGATGATATAAGTATTCCAGGTTAAAGTTACTAACAGAAAGATATTGCACAATGTAGACGCAAAGGGATTCGTGTTATTCAAGGATGGGATCAGCAATGGAAAGTCCCATGCCTCGTTGGACACCCAGAAACAACTATAAACCTTATAGTGCGGGGCCTAGTTGTTTTTGTCCCGGTAGCACAAGAGGCGATGCATCATCGTTCGATGCTGCAAGAACGACGACCTCGTCGAGAGATGAACCTTCTTTTTCAGTCAGCAATGCCAGTGAAATGGAGGCAGAATGGGTTGAACAAGATGAACCCGGGGTTTACATTACCATCAGACAGTTGGCTGATGGCAGCAGGGAACTCCGGCGTGTCAGATTCAGGTAATCCAATTCATATTGATTTACATAGAGCAAGAGCATATCTTCGTTCAAAATCTGAAATATGAAATTGGGCAGCCGAGAAAGATTCGGAGAAGTAAATGCAAAGCAGTGGTGGGAGGAGAACAGAGATAGGATACAAGCACAATACCTTTAAATGTATAACAGTATCGCACCAGAGTTACAAATGGGAAGATCTAAATGTGTTGTGCCAATTTTCAGGGGGGCTTTTTTTTTCTTTTTTGTAACACAAAACTTGATAGTTGAAGAGACGAAATTGAAATCGTCGTTGTTATGCTTCCATTGTTCTTATTTTGAAGGAACAGGAACATGGTACAGCCAACCAGAAAGCAATGCTGCACACAAACCATGACTTGCCTTTGTGATGCATCATTTTACAACGTTGGATTTACTTCTTTTGCACTCTAGGTTTGAGCTATGACTTTTAAACCCCTAGGAAATCTATGTAAACATCAACAAATACGTCATTTTATTTTCTATTAAAATAATTAATATTAAATAAAAATGTTATTGAAATTTATCAGAATTTCGAATTATATCTCATTCCTCTTTGTATAAAATTAAGATAATGGATGTTTTTTTACTTGTTGCTTGTTTGTTTCATATTAAGGCGAGGAGGATGTTTTTCTAGACGAACGAATAAATTGTGAAAAAATATTTTTTTTCCTTTTGCATCTTTTTTAATTTTATATTTAAAACTCCTAAAAATACCTGTTTACAAGAAACGTTTTTAATATAAATAATTGACTTAACAATCACGTAAGATAATATTATTTAAAGATAATTTATATGAAAAAGCATCTTTTATACATGTTTTTCACCATAAATATTTTTATTATACATGACAAAAAATAAATAAATAATTAAAATAAAAACTAATTTTTGACAATTTTTACAAAACGATGTTTAAAGAAAGTCTTATATTGAGGTGGGATTTGAGTAAAAAGCCTTATATTTATATAAAGGGAAAAATTTTACGATGCACGTCGCATATCGCAACACACTACTAAAATGATGTATTAAAACAAACTAGTTAAATTGTCCTCATTAAGTAAATATTAAAAGGGTAAATTAACGTTTTGGACCTAAAACATCATTTTTTAAACCATTAACAACAATGCTTATGTGGCATGATATGTCTTTTTTATTTTTTAATTACCACATCACCTTTTTATTTATTATTTTTTAATTAATTTTATTCAATCAATTAGATGGTGACATGTGTGCCTATGGGGATAAAAAATTAGAAATCATTCTTGCTTTTACTATGAATTGAACTTGAGTCTCTTACATGAGAAACAAATCACTCAACCATTGAGTTAAGCTAGTGTTGAATTATGTTTCGATATAACAAATTTAAAGGCAAAATGTTTTTGGACTTGAATTGAATTTATTCAAAGTTTTAAAAAGGTTTCAAAAATAATTCAAAGTTCATTAAATTCAGATTTGAGCAAAAATGCTAAAGGGTGTCAAAGTGCATCCATGCACCCCTGCACCTGCTACTAGTGCATCGATGCACCATGTAGTGCATCCATGCACTCCATTTCGAATGCAATTAGTACATCGATGCACCCTGCTGTGCATCCATGCACCAAGACTGCAACGATTAGTTTATTTGAATTTAATGAAGGGGTATCGATGCACTTTGATAGTGCACCGATGCACCATGTTATGTGCAGCCTTTTTTAGTAGAAAAATCATCCCCAAAACGGCTTCAAAACATCCCCAACGATTATATACGACACCGAACACATTCCAAGCTATAAATACAAGCTAAGGACACTTGAAGAAGTATGGGAATAACTATCCAAGCAATCAAACACAAGAGAAGAGTTTTTCATTCTTATTTCATCTTTCTCTTGTAAATATTTTGTTCTTGTGAGCTCAATCTTGTAAACACCTACCTTTGAGAGGTTTATTTGTTTACTTCTGTTGAAAACATTTTGATATTTCGATATAACAAATTAAGTTAAATGAATTTTAAGATTTTCCAAATGATTTTCTAAGTATATTCGATAGACTTATTCGAATATCAAAACATTACTCCAAATCTTTCAAAGATCATTTTTAATCCTTACTCAAAGTGTAAAATTAAGTTTTAATCTTAAAACAATTTCAAAATAATTTTGCAAAGTATTTCAAACCATTTCAAAGCCAAAAATTCCAGATTGCTCAGAGGGAACCGATTCCCCCCTAAGGGGGTACCGATTCCCCCTGAATGGTTTGGCTCCGAGAATTCCAGTATGCTCGGAGGGAACCGATTCCCCCCCAGGGGGTACCGATTCCCCCCTTGTATAACGGTCGAAATATTTGAATTTTACACTTAGGGAACCGATTCCCCCCACGCTCCAAGCTGTTTTATTAATTGTTTTCACACTAAAACGGCTATATGATCTTCACTAATCATCCCCAACATTCAGAATGTGTATTTAAACAAGTTCTGAAGCCCTTGATCAACAAGAAATTATAGAGAAACAAGAGAGAAAGCATCAAACACCAAGTTTGTGCAAATCAAGCCAATTTTCCTTTCAATATTCATTTTGCTTTCAAATAACACCATTTGTGCTCATTTGTAATTATTTGTAAGTGTTCCTTTCTTATTCTAGAATTGTGCAAACATCTTACCTTGAGAGGTTTTCCTTGTAAGTTTGCAAATTTGTAATCTTCTCTTTGGGAAAGAGTGTTCTCAAGAATTGGGGTATATTCTTGAGGGTGTTGTAAGGTTATCTCTTTGGCCTCAAAAGAAAGAACAAATTAGTGAATTTGTTGGAAAATCCTTAGTGTGGATAGCTAAGGTAGTGGACGTAGACTTTGATTGAGAAAGTCGAACCACTCTAAATCGATGTGCAATTACTTTCAATTTTCTGCAAAAGCTTCCACTAAATTTTTAATTGCCAATTCACCCCCTCTTGGCCAATTCCGTCAATCTATTAACTCAACAATTGGCATCAGAGCATAACTCATTTGAAGGTTTAATCGCCTCTTGAGTCGATTCGGGAAGAGTTATATCGATAATCAAAGTCATCAATGGCCTCCGCTTCAAACTTCGACTCCGGTCTCGACTTGATGCCCGTCAACAAGCCTCATTTCTTCAATGGAGCTAACTATGCCTATTGGAAGAATAGAATGATGTACTTCATTCAAGCAAGTGACATGGGAGCATGGAATGCTGTAGAAGAATGATACATCAAACCTCTCACTCATCCAAGGTTGTGGAGTGAAGGAGAGACAAGAATGTTCCAGCTCAACTCCAAAGCCATCCATATCATTTTTTGTGCTCTTGGACCAGATGAATACGAAAGAGTTTCATCGTGTACAACCGCCAAAGAAATATGGGACAAACATCAAGTCACTCATGAAGGTACCGATGAGGTAAAGAAATCTAAAATTAGTATTCTAACGCATAGCTATGAAAATTTCAGGATGAAACCAAATGAAGATATCAAAGCTATGACGGATAGATTTTCAACGATTGTCAATGGTCTCAAATCATATGGAGAGATCATTTCAAATGAAAAGCTTGTGAGGAAGTTAGTCTACTCCCTCCCAAAATCGTGGCAATCAAGAAGACGGCAATCATCGAGTCTAAGGACTTAACGTCCTTAACTCTTGAAGAGCTAATTGGGTCACTCCTCACTCATGAAAAGATGCTCGAAGATGAGGTGGACCTCAACAAGATTGACGAGACACCAAAGGAGAAGGGGAAGAATAAAAATATTGGAGTTGCTCTCAAATCCACAAAAGATGAGAGTGATTCGAATAACGATGACAATGACGAGGAAATGTCATTGTTTGCCAAACGGTTCAGAAAAATGATGAGACCTTATCGAGAAAGAAAATTCAAACGAAATGAAGGCATCAAAAATGAACCGAAATAGAAGGACCCGATCATTTGCTACGAATGAAAAAAACCAGGGCATGTCAAATATGATTGCCCATAATTGAAGAAAAAGGGTCAATCAAAGAATAAGCACAAGGCTCAAGTGGCTACATGGAGCGATGAAGAAAGTTCTGATGAAGAGGAACAAGAAGTAACTAACTTGTGCTTGATGGCATTTGGGGAAGATTCTAAGGTAACCTCTAACTCTTCCGATTTTGATGATTTATCCTATGATGAGTTATTAGAGGAATATAATGGGTTGGCTTTGGATTATGAGAAATTATTTTTAAAATATAAAAATGATGTTTCAAAATTGAAAAATAAAAACAAACTCATATCCAAAACCAACAACGATCTTGAAAGTAAAATCAAAGATTTGCAAATCAAACTAGAAGAGTTTGAAAAGAAAAATTTAGATTTGCAAAATTTATTTTTAAAGATCAATGATGATCATCAAAAGAAAATTGATGATCTTAAAACTTCTTTTGATAAAGTTGGAACAAAACATTTTGAAAAAGGTGGAAATTCAAAATCCAACTTTGTTAGAAAAAGTTTTAGAAACCACAATCATAGAGGTCCCCAAAGAACCTCTAATGGAAAAATCGTTAGAAGTATGTGGGTTCCTAAAGAACTCATTACTACTAAAGATAAAAATATCCTACACAAATGGATACCTAAGGGGACTAGGATTTTGGAAACTATGGACCCAAAAGAATTTGGGTACCAAAAATCAAAAATTAATCTATGTTTGTAGGGAAAGGAGCATTGCTACAAGGCACGGGAAACAAATTCAAATTCATGGTACCTTGATAGTGGATGCTCAAGACACATGACCGGAGACAAAATCCAGTTCATTGAGCTTAACGCAAAAAATGGAGGAGAAGTGACTTTTGGAGACAATTCAAAAGGTCACATTGAAGGTATTGGTACAATAGGTAATACCTCTTCCATACAAATTAAAAATGTTTTATATGTGAATGGATTAAAGCATAATCTATTGAGTATTAGTCAATTATACGATAAATGATTCAATGTCTTATTTGAAATTAATGGTTGTAAAGTCATTGACGTTGCATCTAATCAGATTATGCTTGTTGGTCATAGAATAGGAAACATATACATGGTGCATTTAGATTATTTTGATATGACTAATTTATGCCTAGTTGCTAAGGATGAACATAATAGTTGGTTATGGCATAGGAGACTAGGACATGCTAGTATGAGTGTTTTGCAACGGTTAATTCAAGGAGACCTAGTAAGAGGGTTGCCTAAGCTTAAATTTGATAATGATAAAATCTGTGATGCTTGTGC